TATCTGTTCGACAGGTATGACCAAGCAAGCTCGCTAGCGCAAAGGAGCATGAGCAGATGAGAAGAGGAAGAGCCAAGGAAGTGGGCCTGACCCCAAACACACCCCTTCCATGCCGACAAGCTATTCTTCACAATGCACGAACAAGAGTCTGCTCAACAACATTCCTATGCAGCTACCTCCTTCCTCACAACATCCAGCTTGTCAACAAGCTGGACTGTGTCGTCACCATGCTGAGGCAGACTCACTCTCTGCAGCTACATGCTGAGGCGGCAGCAGAAGATGCCAGACAATCCGCATCCTCAGTGATGACACAGACGTCTTCGTCCTCCTGGTGTACTGACATCAAGGATGCAGTCATGCCAAGATTCAAATGGAAAAGTGGAATGGTGATGTCCCTGGATATCAACAAAACTGTTGAGCGGTTAGGCCCTAGAAAGTGCAGCCAGCTTCTCGGTGTCCATGCGCTGTCAGGGCTGCGATACGGTGTCGGTACCCCTTCGGAAAAGGAAAACAGTCAGCACTCAAGCTCCTGGAGATTGATATACCAGGTCTGGATCAGTGCTTGGAGAGCTTGCGCGACCCATGCTCAACTCAAAGTGACAGCAGACAGCTTCTTCTTCCTCTCTACGGACAGAAAAGTTGTACGACAATGATGATGCACGTACTCGCCTCTACCGCAGCCATACAGAGCGCCACAACTGAAGAAACTGCCACCGACTAACGTCCACCTGCAGCTGCATGTGCTCCGAACTCACCTCAGATGCTACTGTGGAAGGCAGCAAACCAAACGTGACCACCTGAAGAAGCCTCTACATATTACCAACTTTGGTGGAGTATCAAAGGCTCCACCATCACACCGACCATCTCAACAGCGCCAGTTGTCCCCAAGCGCTCCTGATGTAGTGAGCTGCAGCTGCAGCGCAGAAGCAAGGCATGGCAGCGGAACGTTGCAGCGCTGCAACGTGCAGGCCTCTTCTATGCACAGACTATTGCAAGTGCGAGGGAGGAGTCGCCTGTTGTAGTCAATTCACGAAAAATCAGATGGACACCGAAGACAATGAGAGGAGCTAGGTGTAGATGACGACAATGACAATGATGATGATGCGGATTGAGGAGTAATGAGGATGAGGAGTCATAAGGATTTGTGACAACTACTGTTATTGTGTACTGTTAAGGCTGTTTGCTATTTTCTCGTTGAATTTACATTAAGAGTGTCTTATTTTGACCGTTGACCTTTGTTTTGACCTTGACCTTGACCACATATCTAAAAAATAACTCCAGAAATGGACTCCCTGCCCTCGAAAACCCTAAAAAGAGGTATTGCATGACACTCTAGGGCATCGAGATCACAAATGTTAATTGACCAAAATCCGAAGATCGACGGCGGCGGCCATCTGAATTCCAAGAAATGCTCAACGATGCACAGGTAGAAACCAGCTAAATCAGCTCTCCTAACTATATAGAACACATTCCATGAAAAAAGTTCAAAGTAATTAACATTGCAGGGTCAACATTTTGGCAACTGGACTAATAGGCTAACCACCACCTAACCCAGTTCGTTAGAAGCGAGTCTGAGAGCATCTTCAATATGATGAAGCCATCCAGACATGGTAAATAGCGATGGGATCTTTCTATATGCGCAATACTGCAAATATTCGCCATTGCACAGCAACCTTCACTCAATCGTAGGGGTGCACCGGATCCAACTTTTTATGTTCCGGCTGGAACCTCTAGGTTCTAGGGTTATTTTCAGTTAATTTAGGTTAAAATTACGCTACATAAAAAGTTTCATGGTTCAATCACCATTAGAAAATTTTTTTTTCAATGTTTTAAAACTAAACGACTACAGTTTGATATACACGACGGTGGCGCCACTCAAAGCGCACGGACTGAAAAGTTGCGCCAAAACGACTTTTCAGCCAAGGGCTACAGACCGAGGGTGTTTCTTTATATATTAATTTAAAAGCAAAGGATTTGTAATATCTTATAAACAACATATAGTTTCGTTATAATTATGCGATAAATTTGTCCTAAAATGAGCATCGTTCGTTAAATAGCATTTAGGATAAATAAACTGCACCTTTGTGATTAGTCCCCGTCTGTAACGCTGCAAAAATATTGGAAATGCGCAACTTTTTCAGGGGGGCAGCACGGTCGCGGGTGTCAATGGCGCCGGTCAAATTTTGTAGCGTTTGATGTATAATTAATTATAACAATTAAATTAGGTATCTGGTAACAAGTACGTGTGGGTATAGACGATTTGTTATACCAGTAAGTACAGTTGTATGCACGTAAAATCCTAGAGTCTAGTATCCTTAAGCCTGGGAATAAACTTGACAGTTTTGGCCAGTATTGTGCAAACTCACTCAGCCTGAACGAAATACCATTAGCAGGCACATCACTCAGGCGAGTATAGTACAATGCTCATTGTTCGACATGTTCTCATTATGTCACATGTTCTCATGTTCTCATTAGGCGCTTCACACACAAGAAAAACCGCGATGCTAATCGCGATGAAATACCGAGATAATTGTGTCGTTGTTCACACAGGCCGAATAATCGCGCTAATCGCCGAGCGGGATAATTCTATAATAGAACTGTGCATGCTCACTGCCCGGAATGATGCTCACTGCGCATGCTCGCTGCTCACTCGCTTGGAATGCTGGGATAGAAAATACCGGGATTATCAAAGCGAGCGTTCACACACGCAAATAATCGCAGTCAAAAGTGCGATTTGGAGCGCGATGCTGATCGCGATTATTAGTGGGTATTATTGCGTTCACACTTGTAATAATCTCGGTATTTCGATCGCGATTCAAAAACCGGGATTTGCATCCCGCTTATTCGCGCCAGTGTGAACGCGCCTATTATGTCACATGTTCTCATGTTCTCATTGTCTACATGTTCACATTCTACATTGTTCTCATTGTTCTCAATGCTACAAAGTTCAAATTACAGGATGGTTGTTAGGTGTATGAATCATCTGCCTACAGTGCATAATTCTGGCATCTTTGTCGCAAGGGAATTGTGTGGCAAAACGTGCATGTTGCAGTCTACCTGGTTTTAGTTGATTATTTTCAACTAACAGACAGATTCCATTCCTGTGGCTCTAAGAGTAAGAGTATGTTATTTTAAAAGAAAATCTAGTGAATCACCGGTTAGTTAGCCGATGTTCAAGTGGCAAAGTTTTTTGGGCGGAATAGTGTGAAGTGGTTAACACTATATTGTCAGCAAGTTGACTCTACTGACGCTCAACTACATTCAGTGACTGATCTTTTGATCTTGATGACGCTTGTAGCAGAAATGAATTTAGGAAAAGGTGGTTGAATGCGGTGAGATTTATGAAGTGATAACCCTGGATATGTTTAGTCAGTACAATTCAGTTAAAAGCACTCAGCTGTCTACATGCGAAATCAGTGTCTCGACTCACTCAACTGCAATGTGATTATGCAAGTCTATGACGTCACAAAATCTTTTACTTTGGCAAAAGCAGAAATCTATGTATAACTAAATTCAATTTACGCAAATAGACGGTTTCACGAGAGCGTCTCCTGGTTTTAAGTTCAATCAAAAGCATTCTAAGTAACTGTTAGAATACTCTCAAACGTATACCTGTATAAGGTAGATCCACTCCACTCGCTCCAGCCTGGCCACGAGCATGAAACTATTACGTGCCACATATACGCATTACGCATGCATACAACTATGTGCGCATCCCCGCACGTATATACGCGCATATAGTAATATCTATTCAATGAATTATACTATACAGACCCAGAGCAACCAATATTATTGATATTATCTGTATATGACGATAAAGTAATTTGAATAATATAATGAAATAGCAACACATTGATATCTTTAGGTGAGACCCATTCACAAACATTTTCCTCCTCCCTTAGATAACCTACTCTTTCCCTACACCTTTACGTTTTTGAAAGCGTTTATATATCCACTTATAGGCTATATATTATCAGTACATGTGTGTTTTTCATCACAGATTATGCTTTGAACAGATAACCAGACAATCTAATATCGCCAGGGGTAGAAATTAACTTTTGAACACGGGAATCCAACGGACTCCCTCTCTGCCCTCAAAAAGAGGGAGTCCACAGCAAAATAATGGAGTCCGCAGTCTGGGGTTCAAAATTAAAGATATTAACAATAACGCATGTGCTTATGTTTAAGATTCATGTGGTTGCACGTCTGCCAAATTTTCTTTGGACATTAGCTGAAAAAATACGATAATTCCGCGAGGCTAGTTAGTATAGCAGAATTTTCAGGGCGTCACACGGACTCCTGCCTATGTCAAATCAGGGAGTCCGACAGAAAATCAAGGAGTATTTGACTCCGAACTCTCGTTAATTTCGCACCCTGTATCGCTATTAAAACCCAAGGGGGAAACGCGGTAGGAATATACCAAAAATTATTTTGCTATAAACTAAGCTATGTAAATACATGTGCTTCATGCTTTTGCTTTATTTTCAGATGCATACACGTCACGAGTCCATAATCGAAAATGGACTCTTCTTTTCTATTATGGACTCTTGATACACGTGCACCAACTCTGGCTTTAGTTTCCGTATTACAATCACATTTGTAACACACAACAAATAAACTCATGGATATAATTTGTGTTACACTGATGCCACTGAGTGATTACACTGTTGCCTTTCAGAGAGATTTCATAAAGATCTTAGATTATTTGCGAGAAATTCATGAAGAGATTATCTAGGGGTGAGTAGGTACCTTGTTGTGGATTTAAATGCCACTGTGCCTTATATATACTCATGGGTTCATGTAACCAAAAAAATGATTTGAAAAGAAAAAGAAAAGAAAGAAAGAAAAGAAATGATTTTCTAGCAGTATCAGGTTTTTTCATAATGCAACCATGTTATCAGACTACAATAACGACCACTTACGCCTTACTGTTAACTCTTACTGAACTTTTCACTTTTACTTTTTACTCTTTGGACACAATAGCAGGTAGGTGAGCTTACCGTAGAGGACAAGTTTGTGGAAGAACACTTGTCCGACTTCGTTGCCCATGAAGAAGTAGAAGTTTGACATGATGCAAATAGCGAGGAGAGGGGCGTTGATGGCTGCCTTCATTCTACGCCACATAGCTGCTGACACATACTCCTGCAGAATAAAACACTCACATTGCACTCATCATACTAGATAGAACATGGCACTGTACTCATGAAACACGTCCTCGGCCTACAGGATAAAACTAACACTGTACTGGTTCTATGGGATAAAACCTGTAGTTGCACTCATCCTACAGGCTAAAACACGCACTCAACCTACAAGATATAACGTGACACTACATATACCCTACAGGATAATATGCGTATTCAACCTACCACAGGTGTTATTCGTTTAATTGGCTCTGTCTGTGACAATGTGTTCCAGAACCCACTCGATGCCTGACAGCAACTTTCGCACTTCACAGAAGCAACGCACACTCCAGTAACTATAGTGAAACTTCCAACGAGCTGATATAGTTGCTGACAGACCCGGTACAGAGGCCAGTACAGGAACTCAACTGTAATTACTTCAGTATTGCGTAATTGCAGCCTTTGTAAAAATGACAGGATTTTTTTAAGAATCCTTGCATGCATTTCAGTCTATCTCCATGGATTGCGATTTATATGTATAGGAAAAACGATTAGGGGACGAGAGTTAGTGAATACTTAACAGTTAATATACAGTTACATACTTAACAGTTACATACCATTTGAGTTCATGCTTATTGATTTACACTTAATAATTCATAGGTAAACTCAGGTTAGTACGTGTAATTGTCCTTGGTGTCTTGGCATATCACACCGCTAATAGTTGGCCCTAATAATATTATCAGGATTGTCACAATATACTCATAATATCAGGAGTAGATAATAGAAGATTCTTCTATTATCTACTCGTGATAATATATGTAAGAGTGTCATAATATATGTCTAGATTATGACACTCCTGAATCCTGATATTAGTATATACTCTGGATTTTTACATATACACGAAGTTTCATGGAGCACAAAAATCAATATTACTCTCCACCTCTCCCCTTGGGGACATAAATTTTCTCGGTCGCCAAAACTCCATGCTTCCCTGGCGACCATGCAATAATTGTGTAATGTATTTATATATATATATACTGTGATGCCCTCACTGCCAGCTGAGAAAAATAAAGAGCTGCAACAACTGAATAACGAATGCCATGACAACGATGAGAGCGATGACGCTCGCACTAATTGTCCTTATTTCGACAATTTATTCCTATTATAATACAGTAAAGTGGCTTTATGGCAACCGTGGGACTTGTTAAAAGCGTGCTCGGTCACTACGATCGGCTGTCATTGTTTGGAATGTCAGGTGAGTCATACACAACTTATATACAGACACAGACACATACATTTACACAGACACAGAGAGTGGGAAGATCATGAACTGCATTTTTTTACAACTGGATTCGGGAGGGACTGCACTGTAGCACCGTGTTTTCTCTTGCACTGAAACTTTTCCTCCTGCTATAGGCTGTAGGTCATTCCTTGTGTTTTGAGGTCCTTTATCATCTTTTTCATATCTCTCGTTTCTAATTACTATATCGTTGTTTAGATGTATTCTAATATTTCCACGCATAGTGGCGTTTTACTGGGCGTTCTAGAGCCGTTTCCTACATAATATAGTTTATTCTGGTTGAGAATAACTTGCTTCTTTTGGCTCTTCTGGCTCTTTTGGCTCTTTTGGCTCTTCTGGCTGAGAATAAGTTTTCATCTTTGGGTAAGAATAACACCATTACATTGTAAACGGGTTAGTTTTCTATGCGAAGCCTGCTACAGTAACCAAACGCTTGACTGTTGCCGAGGCTCTATGCTCCAATAGAAACCATTAATAAAAAGAAATAATGCCTTCTCATGCAATCATGTCAGAGATAAGCACTTGCCAGGTGTACATACGACCTTGAGGCAGTTATTGACTATATTATGCACATCTGTGCTGTTCACATTAGCCTCGTTCACACGAGACCTCGTATTTATGAAATACGGTATTTGCGAAATACCAAATCTGAGACAAATACGCGGCCGAGCGTTCACACGCTGATTCGCGGCTCCAGAAATACGGTATTTGCGAGCTGCGAGCTGCTTTAGTAACAATCAAGCGAACAATGCGAAATAAACAGTACGAACGGGTCGAGCTTACTAGAGACGCACCATGGTCATAGCGAGAGCGTGGTCAGGTCGCAGAGACATCTCCATGGACGTAGTAACAGCGTGATGAAAACGTATTGACATCGTGCTGAGAACGGGGCGACAATTTTCACGCGCCCGACACGCTTGCGATACGATCATTAAGTTCGTACTACGCTCGAGTTACGTGGGTACTACGCCTTCCACGTCTCTAATACGCCCGCACTGCGCTGTCTTTCCGCCACGCTCGCACCACGATTGTTTTGAACATGTTCAAAGTTTGGCCACGCTCTCCACGCTCATGGTGACTGCACCGCGCTCGATCGCGATCGCAGTACGGCCATATACGTTCATACTGCGTTCTACACGTTTCCACCACGCTCTTAGAGCGTAGTACGAGCGTAGCGAGATCGGGGCCCTGGTGTGAATGGGGTATAAGAGCGCCTGTCACTGGCCACTCGTAGCCCACCTAGATTCCGAAGCAACTGTAGATATCTGAGCAATCACGTAGAGAAGACATTATAGGAGATGATATTCAGATAAGACATTATATCAAGGGAATAGTTCAGCTCATTAGCTCTGATCAATGATAAATTATGATCTACGATCACCATTATAAGATTAGATCAGAACCACGAAAGCATCGGCCAACGGATCGTGCCAAAACGTCACACCACCGACACCGTGTTTCCAGCGATGCACATGACAAGTGTAGAGACAACACTGTCGCTAAGTGTCCATAATAATATAAAGTTACATCATTCACTCATAATTATTATTATAGCATTATAACGTTTTATCACATGTGGCATTAACAAAATTAAGCGAAACGTTATTAACCATATAGGATTCGCTGCATTCTAATTGACTCAATAAATATAAAAAATTCATGTTAATTTCGTCGCCACAATCTCCTGACTGTGATTCCGGTATGCTGCCAAGACATTTTCGTCAATAGAAATCGATAACACCAATAAACTGCCTCGGCGTATTATATTATTTATATTATCAGGAGTGATGCGTTTAAGCAACCCAGAAGTAAAAGTTATTAGTAGATACCTGGTCTGTTGGGTATATCCAACTCATAATGACCGCATGTCTATAGCTACAGAAGATGGAAGCGACCGTTGTAGACGAGCAGTATGTATATATATATATTCGCAAAGAGAACAGGGGGAAGCAAAGTGAGCACAGATAATACGAAGAGATGGGATCGACATATACGTAAAATTATGTGTGCGCGCGCGTGCGCGTATTATATACATTTCTAACTAATGACTGGAAACGAATTACTGGATACTCAATAACAATTCCATTAGTGCCGATGTTCATAAAGTTGAGAGTAGCAGCACAAGAATAACCAACGAATGCGCTTCACTTCTCACAGTAGTATGAGTAGTAGAGGAGTATGAGGAGTACTGTAGTAGATTATGAGTATGAGCTAGAGCGCGAACGTAGTCTTACTACCATCTCACACGATTCCCCCAAAACACCTGCAACTCTCGCTGCTTCTGCTGCTGCTGCTGCTGCTTCTGCTGCTGCTGCTGCTGCTGCTGCTGCTGCTGCTGCTGCTGCTGCTGCTGCTGCTGTTGCCAGCGGGCTGCGCGGTTTCCACCTGTATGACGTCATGACGAGGTGATTTGTTTGATCAGGCTACCCACGTGCGTTCGCGCGTGTTATGATCGGTGTCCGATTGCAATGCAAACATTTTTACCACACCATCAAGGATCCATGCAGTATCAATAAAGAGCCAGGTGCTCTATTGTTTGTTTTAAACCAGCGATTTTGATGAGCTTGTGTCGCTCAGTTCTTCGTGACAAATTGATGCCGAAACCGCGCAATGCTAAGTTCAAACGCTAGCCGCATTATAGGCAATTAACGAGTTTGTGAAGGTGATATGCTAAGTTTTCGTTCGTTATAAAAATGGGTCCTAATTATGAACTAAAATATACATAATAAAACTACAGTTACTTTTCCGTTTGCTTTTAGATGTCAAATTACGGAGAACAATCTCTTGGAAATCCTAACTAGACTCACATCAAAATAACAACTAATATATGACAGTAATATCATCTCAGTTAGCGAACGAATCAAATAATACAATGAGTCGGATTGTACATACTATATTGATATTGTGACAAATTGTCCACATGAAGTGTTTTGCAGCAAACACTGCACTAATAATCTGTCTCTGTGAGCGCATGTGTCTATAGGTTATTGACTAGCGTGCATGCTTCGACACTGACAAGGCTAGTAATGGATTTCTAACTGGTCTATCACCCGCATTTCCCGCAAACGTCTACCTTACGTGTATGGACAACATTATGTACCTATGTATGTGTAAGTGTACATGTATATATATCAAGAGTACATAATAGAGCACTCGATCGTACTAGTAAATCTCTATTATGTACTCTTGATATATATATATATATATATATATATATATATAATATATATATAAATTGAAGAAACATAGGTTTTACTATAATTTACTCTACTATTACAATGTTTCATGTCTAAAAGTTTAGCAGGGTCAATACTTCTTTATTTCGATGGTAAACAAAGCTTTAAGCGAACTCTGGCCGTCTGTTCCAGAATGACGCCGAGTCTTTTGAGGAATGACATAAATACGGAACTATTCAAAGGACAGTGAAATACCTTCCATAATAACTGACGACATATAGTTAAATGACGTACAGCAAGATAAACCCTCCCATATAACAGATATCAGTTAGACACCAGGGGGCCGTTGTCAGAAACATCGTAAAGTTAATGCTAATCTTAATGCTAAGATAGTACCTACGACTAATGTTAAGACTAATTTTGTTTCTGACAACGGCCCCCAGAATTTTATATTGTATTTATATTTATAATTTCTTACACAGAAGCACTCTGATTTCCCAAAACTACTTGGAATTAATTTTTAATGATGCAATTATGGGAAGTTGAAACAGCGGTCACTAGTGAATGCCCCGCCTGTTGTAGCGCACTACGAAACACAGCGCAAATGAGAAATTTCCGCCAGGAATACATGCGTGCTATTAACTCACCTTGAGTCTCTTGCCACTAGCCGAGCTGCAAATGAGATTGGCTATAGCTTCTACTGATACGCCAATGAAGTTCAGAGAGCACCAGACGACCAAGTAATCGTACATTCCATGCCAGTAGTATATGTAGAGAAAGCACATGGCGGACGCGAGAAATTTGTTCAAGTATCTGTCCGGTGCACCACCTACTGGAATATAGATATATCTGAAACGAAAACACTTAGTGTTTAGTCACTTAGTGAAGTGTAATACCGTACCATGAATGTCGCTGCTTATGCAATTGCACGGTTTGTCAAAAACAGTTTAAATCATTGCTCACACGTTTTGCTTCAAAGTAGATTCATGGTAAAATCGTTGCGTATGATACATTGTACCACTTTATACTACTATTCTATATTGTTTTATTGTATTCGCAGATGGACATACTTCGTAGCAAATGTTACGATTGTTCTAAATGTTACAAATGTTAAAATCCAGCTCTCGTGTCAATATATAGCTATTCCTCTAAAAATTTATATTAATCATCTACACTTTGTATATAACGTGTATATATATAATATATATATATATATATATATATAGTGAGTATATAACAGACCGCTTTACATGTTAGACTTTCACACGATAAATTAATCTCTGAAATAAATGAATCACACGAGTCAATACACCAGCCGGACTAATATAATTATATACTGGATTATTATATTATATTTATACTTATTATACTGGATATTATATTCCTATAATGAAATAGTTATAGGAAATAACTCAAGCAACGGCGCTGAACGTTTGCCAGATGTTGCCACAAAGGTGCTCATCGTTTCAGGTTTTCATCGTTACATAGCGACAATAGACGTTGACAGTAGACACTATGTAGATGTATGTATATACATAGACTCTACTTAACACGTGTTACTGTCGCTGAAGGGGTCGTTGTCATATCAGGTACTACAGATATGTACCCGAGGTACATATATGTATACACAAAGTGTACCAGACTTGTACTACAGAAGAGTACCCTAACCCTAGCCCTAACCCTAGCCCTAACCCTAACCCTAACCCTAAACATACCTCATATAAAAATATAAAAATAATACTAAACAACATAAAACTACCTCGGGTACATATCTGTAGTACCTGATACGACAACGACCCCATCTGCCTAAGGCACTACTGTAAGCGGCGCAATGCAGTGACGTCATGAATTTGTCCTTCGCGTTGGAATAGTTTGCGTTTTGTCGGCGGGCTTTGCCAGGCCGGCCACGTCTTCGCGACACGTACGCCAACTTACCTTACCTGTACCGATGTGTCCTAAATTCAAACACATGAGCACATACGACAACGACCCCATCTGCGTTACTGTCATACTGTGAGCACAGCAGCATCAGATCAGCAGGCCTTTACTCGCGCTGTTGACCAAGTCGTACAGTGCTGAGCTTACGGCATTCAGAACGTTTGCTGGGATGGATTAAGGTGCACGGCGTGAGAAATTGAGAACAGACGATTAGAGCGAAAGAATCACGTCTGCTCTTGAAAATTGAAACGACGTACAGTGTCTAATACTGAACATTTACGTTTAACGCATTAACTGTTTTGCTGCTCACTTGGTTATAATATTGACATTTTTTCGGACAAACTGTGAGCGTACTCTTACTAGACCTGTTCCTATACATCAAATCAACTCCGACCATATTTCACGCACAGCAGTCCCGCCTTCTTATAGTCATGCTGTCACATACGCCACGGCTCAAATTCACCTAGCTGTGACAACGATGTAAGCGTTTTAAACCCGCAATTGCGTCAAAGCTCACAGTCGGACGGTCCAGAAAGCCAGATTCAGCTAGATTCGGAAATACTCGAGATAAAACGTCGTAATTTTGGTCATCATATAGAGTAATCAGGTAAGAGTAATTGGTAAGAGTAAAGGCCCATTCACACCAGAGCTACGCTCATCACGATCGCCCCCACGCTCCAAAAATTGCCCGAGCGTGGTGAGCGTGGTTGAGAGCGTGGCCAATTGGGCCCCAGCCGGGCCCAGCGCCGATACTATGATCTAATTACGTCGATACTACGATCTAAGTGCGTCTTTACCCCGATCTCATTGCGCTCAACAAGCTTTCACCACGCTCAAC